GGATCGAGGGACCCTCCGTTAGGCATCCAGGAACCTTCCTGGATGTTCTGCAGGCATTGCCGCCTGATGCGAAGCCTCGGGCAGTATATAGAGGCTTTAGATCCTCCCTCCTAGACAGCCTTTCCTCTCCATGGGAAAATTCTTTTACTACGAGTCAGAAACAAACTTGTCTTTTACCAAGCTCCTTTGTAGGCCGTCACAGTTGCCCCCTCCACGAACCTTCGACTGCTACAAAGGCACAGTCTCCTCTCAAGTCCATGGCTTAGAACTGAATGTGGTCGAAATTTCTGAGCCATAAAGCCAGATCATATAAGAGTGAGTACCTTCACAATTGTCAACCCTACAATAAGCTTACCACCCAGGAAGCACGATGAGACAAGGACTAGCAATTGCCTTCTTTTGCCTGCTGCTGGGAACAAGCGAAGTGAGCGCAGGACCTGCATCATATGGTATTTGTCAAGCTGGATGTTCGGCGATAGTGATGGCGTGTTATTCGGCAGCTGGTTTCACTTGGGGCGCCACAATGGGAGCGTCTGCTCCGGCTTCAATAGTTGCATGCAACTTGGCCTTTGGGAAATGTCAAGCAGCCTGTGCTGCTGTTCTACTCGCCCCAACGTTATAATCCAGAGTGGATACCTTTGAAAGATAACAATACTATAAGACCCTATTTGGAAGTTGCCCTCTCCTTATGGCTTAGGCATCGTACAGCTCGGACCGATCGAACTCCACCATCCCCCTGAGCTTTACCACTTCAATCCAAAGTAGTCACACTAATCGCCGTTGATCTGAAGGGGGCGTTCAATAGAGTTAATAAAGTTAGCCTGAATGCGCGCCTACGAGCTAAAGGTATCCCAACAGGCAAAAATAGCCAGGCGATGGATCTACAACTTTATGGAGAACCGATACGCTAGCATTACCTTTGACTTTTGTCAACCGTATGTGACCGCTAGTCACATAGGAGACCTTCCTTTTCCGGACATCGGTATTGGTAACTACCGATCCCGAGGATTATGCAGATTTTTCTGATATTTCCACGGTTCAAAAGTTATGTCTCTTCTAGCTGCCTTTTTAGGCTAGATTGCTTATCATTCTTCATGTATTTAAACCACCGTTTGCAGCTAGATTGAAAGAACCAGACCTTCATCATTCGATATTCCTAAGTGTACATTACTAGCAATTACGCCTAGAGAGACGGCCCACAACTTTCAAACAGAGGTTTCCCCCCTAGAAAATGCAGGCCTCGCTCAAGGATCTCCTCTATCTCCTATCCTCTTTGGATTTTTCAACTCTGACTTGGTGGACCAACCGATCGACTATACTCGGTTGCGAAACCAGTGTCACCCCGAGTTTAGTCTCTTTTGTTCTCCGCAGTACAAAGAGGGTAAAGCGCCTGATAAAAGGCTTGGCAAATAAATATGATTGGCTTAAAATCCAAATCTTCCTATTTACAGACTAGTCTCTACTCGATAAAACAAAGAGAAGGGTCTGGAGGGGTGGCACTGGTTTCGACTTTGTGTGTACCATGGAGGTTCATCTGCCTATATTGATGACTACTTTCGATGGCGGGCTGGACCGTCCGCAGAAGACAACCTCAAAGAGATCCAGGAAGAAGACATACCTCGGATAGAGGCGTGGGCCCGCAGAACTGGGTCCTGCTTTGCAGCAGAGAAAACAGAGCTTATACACCTAACAAGGTCCAAAAAGTAACAAAATATCGGACAAATTACCATAAATGGAAAGACTATCCAACCGTCTGGCACTGCAAAGCTCCTGGGAGTCATCTTCGACAAAGAAATGCGGTAGAAGGAACATGTACAAAAGCAGTGAAGCGAGCAACCCAGGTCAATATTGCACTAGGGGGATTCCGACGCCTCCACCCAGAACAGATGAGGCAGCTCTACCAAGACTGTGTGACATCAATAGTGGAATACGCCTCTACCGTCTGGCACAACCCGTTGAAGGATAAAATTCACCTAAAATCGCTCCGAATAGTGCAAAGGACAGCCTTGATCCGTATCCTCTCTGCATTCAAGACGGTGTCGAGCGTAGCTCTAGAGGCAGAATCCTATATACTACCAACTTACCTACGTCTCAAACAACGTGCGCAGATATTGGCGGCTCGCCTTAGTACGCTACCAAATGATCACCCAGCCCGTGCAGCAGTGGAAAGAGCAAAAATACGCAGCAAGCATATAGGACTAGGTCATCGATTCTCGCTAGCAGAAACCCTCAAGACAATGGATCTTGGGAGATTTAGGGCCCTGCAGAGCGAGGGCCTGGAGGATGCTGAACTGCGTTGGATCCCCGCTCACATCGGGGTGAAAGGAAACGAAAAGGCGGATAAGGCAGCCAAGGAGGCTGCGATAAGAGGAGTTGAACTAAGCTCAGTGAGGCCGCGGGATCGACCGATTATACGGCTCGCGGCTGCAGCTAAAAGAGATGTCCGCCAACGCTTGCGTACGGAGTGGACAAAGCAGTGGGAAAGGCAGAAAGTAGGTAGGCCGACGAGGCGGCTGCTGCCTAAACCAGACAAGAAGAACGTACAGCTCTATGAGCATCTCAGTAAGGCGCACACCTCGATTATTATTCAGATGCGCACTATAAGGATAGGATTAAGGCACTTCCTCTACAAGATCAAACAGGTCGACTCCGACCGGTGCGCCTGTGACCTAGGGTCCCAGACCCCTAGGCATGTCCTTCTGGAGTGCTCGCTGCACACGACCGGCCGGAGGATAATGATGGATCACCTCAATCAGATAGAGGGGCTGCGTGGGCGTATACAGGATTACGACGCAGTTATAGCACACCCGCAGGCGATCCGCTACGTCGCCGAATTTATGCAACAAACAGGCCTCCTTTAACAATTCCGATTCGCTCGACTGGACGAGGAGGACAACGAGGAGGCTCCGGAATCTACCAACCTGCTAGAAGGACTCGAACTAGGCGAGGAAGACGATGGTTACATGGAACTCTAGGGGCGGCCCGGGTCAGACCGCTACCAGTGACGCATGTCACTCACGGACCACCTATATAGAACGAGGCGGAAGGAGAGACAGCGTCAGGAGACGTAGTGAGCTGCGGCAGACGAGTGGCTGCCGGTTTAATTGCGTTACTTGTTGATTTATCTACTGGGTTTGTGGGTTTATATGGCGTAAGGGCTCGAAATTCTGCTTCATTCGGCGAAACGCCTGCATAACCTGTCGTTTCAATAGATAGGCTTCATCAGGTTAATAGAATTTTGATTGATTGATTGATTGGTTGATTGATTGATTCAACGGAATGTAGGTATATGCTCGGTGGGTAAAAGTGAAGTGTCATTTCTAAACTACAATCTGCCTAGTTATTTATAGTTCCACTTGTTTACACCTATGCATTCCTGATCCGTCGGTATGTCATTTGGAATGGTAGGCCAAGTTTAGGCCAAGCAAGGTGCTGTGCGGTATGTAGGTTAGGTCAGGATCCTCCACCTCTCAGGTCTGGTTGACAATATTGTTCCAACACTTAATTTTGGTAGAATTTACTTAGAATTCGATAAAATAGTCAACAATATGGTGTAGGCTCGCCCGCTGAATCTAGATCCATGTTGCATGTGCCCCACTACCATCCGAGATATTCCAAAATCTCTTCCAATCTATCTCGGCCTGTGCCTCTTGCACTTGGGACATTTTGACGGCGATATTTAGTGTCCGGATCGCATCATACAGAGAGGTACTCCTTGGTGGAAAAAGTGTAGGCTCAAACAATGATTGCAGCAGCAGCTTCTGCAATATATCTGCTACTTGACTGTGTAGGGAACAGTAAATATCGTAGCAGAAACCGTAGAACTGGTTTTCTTGTTGATGCCACGTGAGCTCGCGTTCCAATTCTGTCACGCGCATATCACTGGAAGGCGACTTGTGCGACTTAGTTGCTTGAAGCCGGCACCGCATGGTTTCCAAAGCGATTGTCGATCCATGGGCCGTTTGAATTACATGGTCTATACGATTAATCTCTGGGGAATCTGACGAGAAGCTTTTGCTTGTAGATAACCAATGGTGAGGTAAGCCAACCGGTTGTTCATCTTCAATAGACGCTACCTGGCCCGTTGATCGACTATATACGCTTGACACACAGTCCGACTTCGCAGAGTAATATAAGTTAGAGAGATCTTTTTGCATTATGGCTGATGCTGGAGAAATATACTGTCGGTAGGGACAATGTATTCTATATATTTGTAGCTTGCGCAGATTTTTCATCTGGTTCTGGAAGAAAAGACTGACCTACAAATATTTGTTCTTTACTTTGTTTATTCCCTCACACTGAATATTGTTGTTCTAGAACTCAGTTATAAGCAGAATCTTATCTTACCATGGCCATCAACTTCCTATTTTGCAATATGTCTGTGATGGAAGACCCAAGTACTTATATGTGCACTAAACAGTAGATATGTAGATGTAAGAAAGATCTACAGTACCAAATTATATAGAAAAGCATACAATTTTGGGCAGCATGACCATGAAAAATGAACCCTTTAGTTTTATCATTGGCACACAGACTTCCATACCTGCGCCCTTATGGATAAAGAGGGTTGCAGTATAGTCCACCGTTTCTTTTGGCGTACCAAAGCACAAACCAGGCTTTTGACGAATTTATTATTGAATTACCATATTTTTTCCTCATTTCGAGATCCCTCATATGCTCATCAGGAACTCCAGTTTACTTTCTTGTCATCCCTAACAAGACCGGATAAGGCCCATAGACGGGCCTGCTCCGGCTCCAGATACAGGCCAACCCGAAATGTTCTTCTATGCAATATTTACGAATCACTGCTTTTGGTTAGTGTCTGTACCAGCTTAGACTGACTCTTGAACGGCCAATCGCTGCAGCAGGAGCCGGGATCTGATTTGTCCGCCTTGGTGTATGATCTGAACGTGGTCAGAGATATCGTGAATAATTCCCATAGCTCATTGCGTTGTTGTTAGGTTAAGCCTAATTAAGGTCTCACTACCTACTCATTTTCACTCTTCAAGACCTTGATTCCAAGAGAACTTTATCTCCTGAAAGAGGATATCGGAGTAAATCTACAAGCAGTTTCCGTCACCGTTGCGCTTTACATTGGCACGTGAGGACAGTTAGCGACCCTGTAACATAAGTTAATCTATCGGTGGGAATATAGGCTCCTTTGAGGATATTGCGATATTGAGATGAGGATTAAGCTAGAGCTACTCCTTCCCTACCCACAGCCTTGGGAGACAGTGTAGAACATTAGTCAAGATATTCGACTATGTTTTTGTCAAGCCGAAGCTATACTGTACCACGTACTGTACTTGTACCACAGACCCGTCAGCTACCATCCTCTCTGCGAAGCTTGTTGATAGCCTCCGTCGTCCATGTTCTCATGCCCTTCATATGGTCCCACATCATTGCCATGTATTCACGGATTTCACTTCATCCATAGTCAGCAGTCAGCAGTTCGGCGCTATGTGGACGAGGGTGTTCGACGTATAGGCTACTGTACCCGATCTCATTCTTCTTTCTAGATATTCTCTTGAGTTAGCGTACAGATCGCTACAAATCGCGTCTTTCGACTAGGGTGGTATTGGTAGTTAATGAATATCTGGCACTGACCGCTTATCGCTCTCCTCCAAGGTTTGATTTAGCCTCCTATAGAATGATTAACTAGGGTTTTGCAATTAAGGCCAAGATAAAAGGGGCAATACCGGATATCATCCTCTTGTTTAAGTCTCAAGCTTCGTGTATGTATTAGGTCCGTAGTACTCTAGGGTGTCCTGCTGTGGAGCTTACCGATCGATTTCCGTCCGTAACTGGCTGTTTCGATCATGAGTCCACACATTGTTCTACTTCCAACGTGTATTGTTCTTACAGGACATCGTTAACAACCCTAAGGGAAAATGTAAGTGAATGACATGGTCGTTGTTTGACAGACACTTACGCTTTGAGCGCATTATCTGGTTCGTTGCTATTTCTTGTTAGCATTGAAAGTAGGTCAGGTAAGCCAGAATTAGCTAGGAAGGCTCAAAAGGAACCCAAAAGGAAAATGGCCGCTGTACTCTAGATAGATTGAAGGTGGATGAGAGCTTTCTTCGCTTGAGTCAATATCATCTGCTTCCACGTCACCCTGATTATTGCGATGCAGGCTATTGGAAACCACTTCCTTGATATAGTCCACCCAAGGATTAGAATTAGCACTAGACATGTCGACGCACTTGCCAATAGCTTTAAGTTGCTCAGATTCAGCGTGCGATAGCTCTTTTCTACCTCTAAACAGGTAAGGAAAGGAACAATTAGGAAGAAAGGATGAGCAGAGAAGTGAGCGAATAGGAACTGATATTCGTGACAGCTGGATATAAATAAAGGGACAAGTCACCCTACACACCATGTGGAATGGATAGGTAAGTATTTCCAACGTCGGTCTCGGGCCACTTCCGCTATATCTCCTCATATTTCCCCTATGCTTGTTTGTCAGACTTTCTTAGGTGAACAAATACTTGCTTACTGCGATTATAGTATGGGCTTGATAGAGATCTTAGTTTCAGTATACTACATTCATTGCCTGGTATGAACATTGCGTTGGTGAGATATCCATTACGGGCAACATTGCGCTACGGTTGACGTTACATCCCCGTTCGACAGAACTATATTAGGTATGTGTCAGTCTATCGAAGAGAGGAAACATGGGGTCCTTGCTGTTCAAAATAAAGGGTGTGTGACTAGCAAACTGCGGCTGTGAAAACAACATCGCAGTGTTAAAATACATAAGATGGCTCACACGCGCCAGAAGGGACTGTAAAAATTTTATTTGGTCACGTTCGATGAGGTCAACGTAGAATAATTTTCTACAACTCATAATACCGCAAGTTATGGCCCAGAGACATTTTGATGGTGGTGTTCTTCGTCCATAAATGTTGACCTAGCTTGGATATAGCACTTATACAAGCAGAGCATCGTTCAGAACATTCTACACAGGCGGAAGCCAGATAAACTATGTTTAAACTAAGCCCTATGCACTGAGGCCTGGTCCTCTTTTTTCCCGGGTGCTTTGCTGGTTCGATTGAGCATCTCTAATTGTTGTCGACGAACCGAGCATGTAGCTACTTAATTTACTTCAACCGGTTTGGAAATTCCAGTTTCCGAGTTGCATATATATGTTATGCCTCGAAAATCCATACAGTTCTCCATATTTCCCAATTTTCCTACTGGGGAACTTTAATGGCCATCCCAGGCTGTTCTGGCCCATAAGGCTATATGAGAAAGCGTTGAAGAGAAGCCTGCTCCGATCCGAGGAAGTCATCTTCAGAAGGATGGATGAACAATTCGTATAATAACGATAATCTAATTAATCATAATTCGTTCAGTATTTGATTTGTGGCTTTGATTCTCCTGCTGAATTGCTTTTGGCATTTCCATTAGGCGCGCCTCGCTTATTAGAGGGTGTCCTGTGCACTGATGGGTTGTGAATGAGGCCAGCCAAGCTATCTCAGCGCGGAATGATTGCAAATAGTGTGGAAATTGTAATGCCACTGTTCAATACTGGCGCCTAGCTGCTGTTCTGTTCGTCGCGGTCGAACCCACATGTGTGCAACATATGGTTAAAGTGGAGCCACTTATAGGGGTTTGATTAAAGCTAGGAGAGACCGACGTGGTCCCACCTAAAAAATGCTCATAAAGCCATGCGCGAGTCAACCTTGAATATGATACTTCGGAGACTGGCCGAACTTTAGGCGTAAGGAGTTTCGCCTCAAAACAGTGTTGGGTTCCGACGGACATCAGGAGTCGTGAAGGATCAGGTAAACGTAGAGACAAGTCACAGTATTCATCGGAAGTGACCATCACTGTAGTCGGGGTCCGTCAGTCCACCATTACGCTGTCACCCGACTCCACCGCGTCTAGCACACGAACATGCTGCTCCAGCCCTACCACGAAACCGACTTCGAGTAGTGTCGTTCCATCTTTCAGCCATGGGATACCATCCACATTCTCGGAGCAAAGCGCACCCAAATGGCCCTCTCGATTCGAAACCGGCCAGAATCGATACGAAAATCTGGGCACTTCATCCACGCCGTTAATACAGTCGGTCTCGAAATCGCTCTAACCTTCTGACACATGACAGTTGTTTTCTGGCCCCACTGCCAAGACCTTGGCTTGGAATTTATATTTACCCAGTGAGGGCGGGTGTAACTGTTTTTAATAGGAAAGTGTCAACCGTATGTGACCGCTAGTTACATAGGAGACCTTCCTAGTCCGGATATCGGTATTGATAACTACCGATCACCAAGGATTATACAGAGTTTTCTGTTATTTCCATGGTTCAAAAGTTATGTCTCTTCTAACTGCCTTTTTAGGCTAGATTGCTTATTATTCTTCATGTATTTAAACCATCGTTTGCAGCTAGATTGAAAGAATCAGACCTTCATCATTCGATATTCCTACGGGTACATTACTAGCAATTACGCCTAGAGAGACGGCCAACAGAAAGTTACGGCTGCCCTCATTTATAGGCAATTAGGGAATTATAGCTTTTAAACTAAGCTCTTGGCAGTGGGGCTTGGAAACAACTGCCATGTGTCAGAAAGTCAGAGCAATTTCGAGACTGACTGTAAGGGCACCCATGGGCTCCAAAATAATCTCCTCGTCGAACTCGGTCCAAGTACAAACAGGTAGTCTTAACAGGGCTACTGTGGTCGGTACTCCTACACCAAGCAGCGTGAAACTGGATAGTTGGGGAGCAACAAAGTTTTCATTGCCATCACCATCAAGCACAGAACTCATTCAATTGGCCTCTGGGGCAATTATGCCCAAGTTTTGTCTACATACTTTCGTCTTTATGCTTCTAGCTACTTCATTTCTTGCAAATCGGGGGATACTACTCTAAAAAGAAAATGGACTCACGCCATATAGGGCAATGCACATCAGGAGCTATCATATTTGCTCTGTGATCAACCAGGCTTTATGCGCCTACATCTACATATATCTTCATGTCACATCCTCACAACGATGTTTCAGACATTCAACACAATCGCGCAGTCGCTTCCCCAACAAACTCTGTCCGTGCCCACGCCGGTCACCTGGATGGTGATGAAGATGAAGGTGATAAAGATGACGAAGGTGATGATGGTGTAGACGACGAAGAGCGCAGATTCATTCCCAGCAGGAAGCTTACATAACGAGTGCGGTGATAGTTATAGATGATATTTTATATAACTATATCTAAGTCTGGGATACCAAGACCCAGGGCATTCTCCCGTAGATTGAGAACCTTTATAGTACTAACTAGTTAACTAACGTATTTCACTACCGAGTGAAACACCCCCACCGAGTGAAACACTTCACGCGTTTTGGCTCCGGTCGAAAACCTCGCTCAATTCAACCACCAACCATGCCTCCAAAAGCGCGTCAAAATTCAAGAAATTCAACTGAGAAAGAGGGAAGGATCTTACTTGCTATTTATGCTTTAAAAAAGCAAGAAATTAGTAGTATTCGCGAAGCGGCACGCCTCTTTGATATTTCACATACAACTCTATATCGTCGACTTAATGGAACAACATCACGCTTGGAAACACGTGCTAATAGTCGTTAGACAATGAGGGAGAATATGAGCAACTTCTAAATACTGAAATCTACCTGGGGGTGCATCCTTTAAAAGATTTCCATCATCGTCTTTGCAATCGTTTCCATTGCGCTCTGTGCGTTTTCTGGCTTCGACTATATCAAATTTACGAGATATCACGCAACGATGGCGATCACGCAAGAGGCAGCTTTGTCGCAGGATAGATATGCGCTGCCTTGTATAAGAGCCTTCTACCGAATTATAGCTTTTAGTCTATCCTACAACCACACTACTGCTGTACCCGTGCAAACCTGCTACAGCTTTACTTGACTCAAGATAGCGAAAGAATGCCTTTCTTCGTTCGCCCAGCTGGTAATTGTTGATACGTATGGCTACCCTAAGCAAAGATGCAAGGATCTTAGTTAACATGCGATGTGAAGCTCCCTGCGGGCTCCCCAAAGAACCTCGTGTAGATCTGGGTCAGGATTTGCGCGTCAGCGCGCAGAGTGGGGGATATATAGCGACTCTGTAACAGGAAATTGATCGTCCGCTGCAGAAGGCGCTCGAGGTCATTTCGGTTAACCAGCACGGACAAGTGAGATTCGTATGTAGCCGATAAGACTAGCATATTACCAAACTGTCTGCCGTACAATTAGCATCAGCAGACTAGCGGAACATGGGACGAACATACGCATGTGCCGTTCCAAATATGTTAGTGAGGATGGGTCGGCCTTTGATGCCGTCAAAAGCCTCTGTGCTCTTAATCGCGGACTCGATGCATATATTGCATGCGCGACGCAGTTCCTTTGGTAGCTCGTGGTACGCGCACTGGCCCGGACCCGCGGTTTGATTCGGGGGTGACGGGGCATACGCGGGGCCAGTTTCGCTCCGCCAGCGCCTCATGTCGGTAGCACTTTGGCTATGGGTCATTGACGGGGAGATCTGCTGCGATTTCAGCCCGGAAGCCTTGGTGCCCGCAGCCGGGGTGGCCGGGCAGCCAACTGACGATGCCCGAGCATTTGATTGTCCCGTACAGTGGAGTGCACGATAAAGAAGAGGCCGATGAATGATATAACGGGCACCGTAGTACTTAGCCCGCATACGGGCGACATTGATATCATTCGACGGGAGGTCACTATCTTTCCACTTCATAATTTCGGGAAGACTATCCCGCCACTGCTCAAGGTTTGTGCTTAAGATCTCCAGCACTTCAAGAGGCCAGTGGGACTGGCGATTCTCTGTCAAAGAATTAGTTAAGTATTCCTATCCCAATCCATCGTAAGAAAGCTTACTATCAGCCTTGTACAAATTCATATGGACGCGGTTGAGAAACTTCCGGAGGTGAATCTGCGCTGAGTAGAAAAACATCATTATCGTCTCAGGTGCAGAAATCTCGTTCGGAAGACTGTGAGTGAAGTAACCCTTTGGAAATGAAACGTGCGTCCCAAATCGCGAGATACCGCTAGGGGGGAGGTCCAGTTCGGCTAAAATGTCACTGGATAGAATATTAGCCCTTTTTTACGATTAGACTAGCCCAATGTAAGCTTACCTTTCTAACTGAAGACAGGTCCAGTACGCAAAAGCATACAAGTCTTTCATAGGGCCATCGTACATCTTATCATACCGTTTACTAATATAAGTTAGCCCTATTATCAGCAGTCGGGTCGCTGCTAAACCATACGGTCGAACCAAAATCTGACAGACTCGGGCAGCCTGAGAAATCCACCCGTAACTCTGGAAAGGATGAGCCAGTTGACCGGCATAGAGGCCCGCAAGTAATGGCGCTTGGACATGGTATAAACCATTCGCGCCTTGGAGATTCCCGAGAATGCCGGTAGCATATGCATAAAATGCCAATCCGGGAATGATATCAAGGTTTCGTAGAGTCTGATCGTTAGTATAGGGACGTCCCGCGGTATTCTTTCGACCGTCTCCCATCCAGGAGGATTTCAAAGAGGTAGGGTTCGAGTGGAAGCTGTTGGCCTGCGAGGCCATTACCGCGTCTGACCTCGCAAGAGAAAACATACTGGGCGAAGAAGGGCAATCCATGATGGGGCCAGGAACGGGTCGGTCCCGAACTTCGCAAATACTGCCCAGCGCTAAGACGAGTAAGATAATGGCGTTATTGATCGACTTTTCAATAATATGGGATCTTGTCTCAGCTCGGACGGTAACGGGGGATCCCGTTTCGCGTCCTGCACCTTGAAGAGCGTCGCACGAGAGTTTCCGTTTAGTGCCCCGGGGCATTTCGGCTCCCGTGCCGGGACAATATGCCTTGATAAACCATTCGATCTTCTGCTCTAAATCTTTCTGATCAAGAAACGGATGGAGCTTATGAAAATGCTCCATATAATTACTATAATAGCGACGTATTGTATCCGGGGTAGTTGTTACCCGACCGGAATCATCCAGTCCAACGTCCGTGAGCTTCGACTGCGGCTGGTTGATTTCGCCCCATGGCTCGCTGGGGGAGGGGGAATGCATGTAGGCTTCCGGTATGGCGGCACTCGTGTTAATTGATCTGGTCGAAACCGAAACCATCGGATTCTCGCTCGTTTTGTCATCTTCCCCTCGTCCGTAGACGCAAATGAGACCGCGCTTCTCTTCTAACTGCATCACATAATCTTTATCATATCCCGAAGGCTGGACGATTTCTTTGATGGAGGGCCATAACAGTAACTTGTGAGCGGCAGTAGTATGTTCTATAGGAATAGACAGCTCGCCATCTTCGCCAGTCACGAAAATCTGGTTGCTGTTAGTGCCGAGCGCGTTCGCCTTCCGAACGTAATTTTTATCAAAGGCCTCAGCATTTTTCATTCTTAGCAAATGTTGGGGAATTTTTTTCGACGGATCTTTGGAGACGCGAAAGCTCTGCTCTTGTAAAGCACTGTTGGTCAGCTGGCTCAGTTGGAGGCCATTTTTGGCCTGATCATTTTGCAACTCGGACATCTTCTTATTTATAAGATCTTTCAGCTCTTTGAGTTGCTTTAGGATCAGACTTGTGTCTGTGTCAAGTCTATCTGTAGGTTAGGACAGTTACCTAGAATAGAAGAAACCGGAGCGACACACTTAGGGAGTAGTACATCCTTGTAGACACAGATCAGATTAGTTTCCTTGCAGTGGCCACAAGCGGGACGTTTCTCGTCGCATTTTGCTTTCCGGGCTCGACACGGATCGCAGGCCTAGTAGGGTCGAACGTGGGTCAGGAATGGATCTCAATCGACTTCGAATCGCAACCTACCATTCGTGCGCGATGAGGTTTACCATTTTGAGGAATGCCAAACGCCGGGTTGTTATAGGAAGTTGATGTATGCAGATGCTCGGCGGGCAGTGGGAGGGACGATGATAGTGGATGGACCGTGCCGTACGCATCCTGGTGTCCGGGAGGGTATGCAGCTGGGGGACGTGTTTGTATCGGCTCACGGACTGAGGGCTGCAAATAACTTAGGGTGGGGTCACATAGGGCCCTGGGAAGTTCTGGGAGTTTTTGAGGATTCCTTTTCGTGGAAGTATAGACGGTATGATCTGGGGAATGAGTTGTCCCACTTGTGTAGCAGCTCGGGGTTGTGGGAGCTGCCTCCTCCTGCTGTAATGACCTGACCGTCATCTCATAAGTGCCATGTGAGTTACCGTGTCTCAGAGCAACCGAAGAAATGACCTTGTTTCGGTGGTAGTAGTCACGTAGCCTTAGCCCTGATATGCAGATAACACGCCTTTCACTGTTCCAAGGGCGTTCATATCATGCCTAAGGGCTGGTGACCTTTCTGAGAAGTTGGATAGTAAAGACGTTTGCGGTCAAATTGATCAGAGCAATCATGGATGTCAATAACAGAGTTGCCTTGATGTAGAGGAATGAAGGAGGAATGAAAGCAGACAGAAATATGCTCGAAAAGTTTGACCACTGATGTATTAAAAGAATAGTAATATAACCCACTGTATGATTGGTGGCTTGCATGCATTCGCCGGGGTATAGATTACCATGTTCATGTATTCGGAACAATTGTAGGTTAGCCTGTGAGCAGTTGTGAAAAATCATGGATAATTTTCCATAGTCGAAGACGGGGTACAGCTGATTGCGAAAGCAGTGTCTGCGGCATCCTTTCTTTGTTGCCAGAAGTATGACTTTATCCGAATAGGGCTAGTTTACTACTTGGCATACTTGGCATGTGCAAATGATTGGGTCCTTGGTGATCATCTAACCTTTTATGGTCTAGCACACGGTTCGAATTTGAAGTAAGTAGTCGTAAGAGGGTGATACTTTCGCAACCAAGTGTAACATTACGATGTTCACAATATTTTGACAACACGGTAATTTCGTTCGCAATCAACTTACATTCTAGACAACCCTAGAAAGTTGAAATGACGGCTAAGAGCACTGGGCAATATGAAGGAAGTGAAACTCTCGATATTTTCGTTTACGAACTAATGTGAACACATACAACAGAGCCTTGATGAGAGATACAGTAGACAATATTTATCCTAGAACAGGTGCAACAAGTCTAATCGAGACGCATCAATGATTTGATACGTTGACCAACGATTCTTACTGATTGAGCTTAATTGATAGGGATTGTTTAGGTGGGTAAGCGAAATGAACAAGATGGGCAAGATGGAGCGGAAAGGGGGGAGGAGGAATAGGTAATCTTGCACAAATCTGGTGAGAAAAAAAAACAAAGAGGATCAGCGAGGAGAATTGGCGGTCTCGGGTCAGCAACCAATCATTGTGAAGTTATAGAACTAGCGTGCTACTGCGCCGCTGCACGTCGATGGCTCTCAGCCTCGAGCCATAGTTTGATTTCCCAACATGTTCATTCATTTTACCTACGCTCGAGCAAAGCCAGCTTCGTATCCTTAACTATTCATTTTCGGTTAACAAGCGAAGTTGACTAGGTTCAACACTGATTGGCATTTATTACATTCAAGGCTCAGCACTGACTCGACCTTTGATGGAGCTACTCCGCTATGCACATTGTAGCCAGGTCCCGAGCGCTGGCTCTCCAACGCTAATGCGGGAGACAGAACTGACTTGCTGGACTCATCTAATTCTGGGGACTTCCTGCCCGACTGTCTGTGCGCAGCCTCATGTTTGTGTGGAGGCGAAGTTTATTGGATAGTGCTCTACAGACCAAAACAGACTATTATTAGGGCCATTGCGATTGGTCTCTCTGTGTCGCTATACCCTTTGGTCACATGCTCAGGCTGTGAAACCCTGTCGCCGCGGATATACACTAGAAAAACCCTTACTACTAAGGGTTGACCCTTTTTAGTGTAGCGGTATTTTTCTGCCACAAACCCGTAAGTTGTAGCGCCAGGAAGCGTCCGATGTTGTCAGACGGCTATTACAATACAGAAGTTGTTCAAATACCAGTTAGTATTTCGTAAGTGTCATGCCGTCTAGCCGCATGTACTGTAATCGAAGGTTCCTACTAAGGAGGATACACGGGAGTGGAGAGGAGTTAGAGGACCAACGATTGATCACTCATTGAGCCTTGGTCGTTATAATTTTCTGTTCACACGTTGCATTGAAGCTAAGTGTTATCAATGCACACGCTGCGGTAGTGCCTGTCATTGTGAGGCCTAGTCCGCATCTATGTTCTGATGCTTACCGGTTGGGTGAGACTTTCCAACTTACAGAAATCTATTGTTTCACGTGTATCCTTACCGTTCTGCGGTACAGGTCGAAGAAACACCTGGTAGGGAAATAAATGTTCAAAAAACTGTTACGATACGTATTTCACTTAATAAATGGACATGTCTCACTTTTCACGGGACGACCTTCTCCATACCCACTCTAAGCCTTAAAGGATAAGAGGCCCGTGCGATTGAAGCTATACTTAACTGGCTCTTCCCGAGATTCAACGACCCGTTCTCCTGGCATCCTGTGCCAGCGTCCACTTTCCTGGCATCCTGTGCCAGCGCCCACTTTCCTGGCATCCTGTGCCAGTGCCCACTTTCCTGGCATCCTGTGCCCTGTCCTCGCATCCGCTGCGCTCTGTGCACATCCCGTGCTCTGCCGCATCCGCGGCTATAGTTACCCCCACACCATGCTTCAGCATACCTCAGACGGCACCGCCTACGGCATTCAGGTTAATCTGATGTCAGGTCACTTTAATTGGTGCGACGCATACGCACTTAGTATAGAGGAGAAAGAATTATTGAGGCTTGAAGCCGGGTTCGTTCAGCATTGGCTCGGGTCAGTCGAAGAGGTCGGGTTGGATGAATTCTACAAGGGCGTCGAGGAAGCGGCACAAAACATCAAGAAATGTGGCCCTTCGCTGCTCCAGAAGACCCCGCAGGTCAAAAGGAACCTCGACGCACTACGGGACAATAGTGAGTTCCTCCATCTACTGCGCAACGGGTTTTCGAAGCCTATCCCTTCGAAAAAGACCAGATTCGAGGAGATGGTTACTTTTATTAAGCTGCGCTTTGGCCCTGCTTATGCCCTGCTTATCATTTGCATTTTCGGTATCGGTGGCCGATACGGAAATGTAGGGGCAAGACTGACAAATCATCAACTTGCCCACATCGTCTACCGCATAGGCCGGGATATACGTCTGGGCCAGTATTCCTTATATTGTCCGGAGCTGAAAACGTATTGGGACAGAGAGATCGGTGATGGTATTGGGAAAATTAAGGCAGATGCTCCACTATCAGGTGACCCCCAAGAGATATCCACCGAGCGTAGCAGCCGAAATTGGCATGCTACCGTAATGAACGAAGGTCAGTCAGAATCGCATGGCCGCTCCTATGCTGTTATTATACTGACTTGAGTTTAGTTGCATACCGACCTATAGACGTTGGTAGCCTCACATGGAGTAGTACGAGGAGGCAGTTACTGGTCCTTGTGCATATTATGGGACGCAATGGCATTCGCGAAGACCTGCTGCGCCGAGGGCTTCTGCCCCAATACCGATGGGGCCGCAACGGCAATCCGACCATCGCTCCTCGGACAGACATGATGGAGTTTGCGGAACTTTTCGCTAGTGACGACACATTTACGCAGGAGCTTCACAGATGTGTCAACGGTAGATTGGTCAGAGTGCACACGCTTGAGGATGGAGCTCAACGCTACAAACTTACGGATGGGTTGGAGAGCTCTCTGCCTCATCACTTGCCGCAGTTGTGGGTAGATTTATTCGCATTCACTGCATATATCTACCCCCGCGATGATGCATTGGAACGGTCGTAAGATGTCCAACCCGCTGTGCTCATATGAAATATAATGTCGTTAACGCAGCTAGGTTCCGGGCAACTGGTAAGCTCCTGATGCCGGTGATGGATGTACTATGGGAATGTCTCCGGGAAGGAGATCTCCCAGACCTACCAGAGACTGTCCGGGAAAGCTTCATTGAAGCGTCTTTGGCGGCCTGCCGGCTGACGAATGCCACTCATGCGAAGTCCATTGTGTCGACAGCACGCAGGCTACAGTCTCCAGTTGTATCCCCGTACCTGGCGGCAATGCTTTCCTGGCAAGAGAGTGTTTCTTTCCGGTCAGAGGGAAATCATAACAAGTCGGATACCGTTCTGGATAAAATCCTCTGCCAGATTCCCGAGGTCCCGAAGACCGATCCGGATCCGGATATAAGACTGCATTGCGCGTATGGCCGCTTAGTCTTCTCGCGGGTCGAAAATGCGATAATGAGAAATGACTTTCATCGCACATGGGGTTATGTGGACTGCTGGGAGAGAAGAAGTAGCTATCCATCCACTTTGGAGTGGAAATTGATCCGACTCTTCAATACCATCTTTGGGAGATTAGCCAAATACACAGGACAGTTCTCGTATGCTCGAAGATGTTTCGAGAACTGCCTCCGTGATGACGACCCCAGTTACCGTCATATTCAATATCACCTCGCTGACATCTACTGCGAGCTGGGATGTGCTGAGCAGGCAAAAGATCTGCTCCGAAACGACGTAGAACAGCTTCGGCACATGCAAGGTCAGAAATCGAAAGCATTCAGACGCCTGGCGCTCCCGCTAGCGGAGGCTCACATCAATCTGAGGCAACTCAACGCAGCAAGATACACCTTGGAGGAGGTTCTCCAGGCTCATGAGAGCATGCAAAACCATGATGTGACCGATCAACTGGGCCATGTCCGCACGCTTATTAGCCTAGCACGGGTGGATTGGTACGAAAGAATGTATTCCAGCGCTGACCAGAAGCTTAATCGTGCGACGGTGCTCGTTGAGAATTATCCTACTTTCATAAAACGTGGGTTTGACGTTGCATTCGTTAACCTCTTTCATTCTGTTGTGAAGAGAGCTCTGGCTGGCGAACTTCTCTCAGAGGTACCACGAGGCTACTTTATGGCAGGGACCGGAACGTATTTTTTTGAGGAGATCTTTTCCAACGCTTGGACGGGTATTTCTAGACATAGCACGGAGCTCTCTTCAGTTTCGTTTAGTGCTGAGAATGCTTAGCGCACCGCTCACTAGATGCAAACTTCCCGTTATCAAAACATGTGTCGACAAAAAATTCTGGACAATTGTACGAGCTCTCTCCAGAGCCTCTTCGATTGTTCCTTCACACCATACCGTAGACCCAGGTTTGTATGTTCTCCAAGCGCGTGCATAGGCTTCTAGCTTTTCCATTGAAGATCGGGCTTTCAGATTTCTGTCTAGGACAAGTTTAGCCCGTTATCCCTAGTTTCGTGAGGGTTTGGTCGTAAATACCGATTCTTGTCAACCCATTCCGCCTTTCATTGTACGTAGTCAATATCAGGTGCCCTATTTCGAGACTTTCTCTATCGAGGGATTCCTTGATCGCAAGTAAAAGTTTGTCGCCACAACGATCCGAGAATTGACTGAAGATGACCACCCTCGCGGGTTCGATGTCGATCCTATCAGAATTAGCACGATACCACCACGGGGAGTGCATGTGTGGTTGTCTCTACCTTTGTAGCTTGCTCATTTCTGCAAACCATGATACTGCAGTGGACAACCCCGAGTCATTATGAGCACCGTCAAGGAACCAACTGTGATTGCTTTCATTTATCTGCTGGTAACGACCAGGCCATTCGAATGCCATAATGCCACGGTCGACACATCCAGCCAGGTTCGTCAAGCTGTCAGGCATCATGATTGAGATCCACTTCGTGGCCACTTGTATTGCAAGTGAGCAGTTTTCTTTTTGAAATTTAATCACCGGCAAGGACGGGTCAGGCTCCACGAACGATAGTGTGACATTTTTCTCATTCGCACGTTTCATAAGAGCCTCAGCGACAATTTGCTCCTGAGGTGACGAGATTGCGGGACAACCAGGCTTAAAGATGCCCGCCTTGTGCCAAGCGATATCTTCAATGGTGGGCCCGAGGAATCTAACATGGTCTTCTGCTATTCGGGTTACAGCTGTTACTACGGGCGATGCCACGACATTCGTCGCATCGTACTCGCCACCCATGTGTGGTTCGTAGACGGCGACGTCCACCCCTTCTTTGAGAAAGACATGGAAGGACAGAAGGGTTAAAAGCTGGAGGTATCGGGGGAAATCCATGTCGACTGTAGGCTCACGTGGCAGTACATCCCATGTCTCGTAAAAAGCCCTCGTGAAAACGTCTTCCTCGATCGGTTTACCGTTGATCCGAATCCGTTCACGTATGCTGAGAAGATGCGGTGAAGTATAGAGTCCGACCTTGCACCCGAAGCTCTGGAGTATAGACGAGATATATGCGCAGGTGCTACCTTTTCCATTGGTGCCGGCTACATGAATGATGTTCAAATTCCCCAGATCTGTTTGCTGTCCGAAGTTAGCAACAGCAGACACTTATGGTTTCTGGTGTTACCATACAGAGTAACCAAGTAGTTCCAACCATTTTGTCATATCATCCGAGCCTCTCATTTGCTTCAAGCTCGGCTGCGCACTGGCACGTCTGCTATTGAGCAGCTCGATGGCGTCCTGCAACTGTTAGGCAGTAGATACAAAAATCGAAGAGCCACTCACATCGTAGTGTCTTCTCATTATAGCAATTATCAAGGGGCCATAAGTGTCTTAACGATGGTCGTGCGATGTGGGATTTAACCCGGCACCATTGCTTACCGAAGCGGGGTCGGATGTCACCTGATCTATGTCCCGGTGTGGCCGCGGGGTATGACTAAACCGCTTATATCATCGCCTTTCTTGGCCGATTAATTTATTGCGTTTTATTGCAGTTTTATTGCATTTATACGGCATTTTTCAGGACAGTATTATTGTGATATGTCGCTTGTTTTAGTGATTAGGAAGCCTCTGAAATTGCTTAAATATCGGCTTCTTTACCGTGTAGGTAGAAGAATCAAGACCTTCATTCAGTTGAAAACGATCATATAAAATCGGTTGAATAATCGCTTCTTCGGTAGACCCACATATTTCTGCCAGATGCTGGCAATCTATTCAGCTTCATCTACGATCCAGCTGGGGAGGTGTGTCAGCAGAGATAAGGCAATTTTACCGCCAGGATCCAACACCTTGCCGCTTGCCGTCTAGATCAACTCTGACGGCACCTCATGGCTTCAAGATAAGCCGATTTCAAAGAAGCCACGTAGTCATATTGCATTTTAAATAGCTTCGTTTCGATCGTCTAATACCCTCTTAGCCGTGGGGAATCTGGCTCGATAGGACCCTTTCGTTCGACACTCACAGGGTTAAGGCCGTTGCCAAGGCGAACGGGACTTTGGAAGGCCTCCGCAGCATCTCAGGCTCGACCTGGGGGACCTCCCTGCTGAGCATACGCCGCATCTGCCTGGCAGTGGTAGTCCCCCAGCTACTCTACGGGGCGGCTGCCTGGTATAGCCCTACGAGCCGGACGGTCAGCTACAAGAAGCTCCAGAAGACGGTCAATGAATTCCAGAGGATTCAAACCCGCGCAGCTGTTCTTATCAGTGGCGCGTTTCGTTACACGGCCTCAGCCGTACTGGGAGTAGAGCTTTACCTCCCCCTTATGCGAATACAGATGCATCAAACCATTCAAGAGGCGGCCGTTCGGATCCAAACCGGGCCAGCTATAGCCTGCCCCCGAGGGCTGCGCTGGGAAAGGTCGAAAGAGGCACTTCCTCTACAAGATCAAACAGGTCGACTTCGACCGGTGTGCTTGTGACCTAGGGTCCCAGACCCCTAGGCACGTCCTTCTGAAGTGCTCGCTGCACACGGCCGGCCGGAGGATAATGATAGATCACCTCAATCAGATAGAGAGACTGCGTGAGCGTATCCAGGATTATACGCAGTTATAGTATACCCGCAGGCGATCCGCTACGTTACCGATTATCTACAATAACGACATTCAATTTTACAATTTCTAAAAAAGTTGATACATTCTCGTCAACCTTTATCAGAAACAACATCTGGATTTTGCGTTAATAGTTTCCGTTTAATAGGATTAATCCCATTATAGTAACCGGCAAAAAGAGCCTGCACCTCTCCTATCGGAATTTTCGTCGACTTGTTTCATCAGGTGTGCCAAAGTGCATTAGCATGTGAACAGCCCAGCTATAATATAGTATGCTTACAGCGTAATGTAATTTTATTATTGTTGGCGATATATACTCACCCTGGCAATGGGGTGCAGCCCTTAGAGGTAGAGCGGTATACATACATCGCCTATGCCTCATTATGCCTCATTTAGCTTGCTCTGTCTATAGAGAATTCCTCACCTGCAAAGCCACCTAGCTCTCCCGGATATACGAGTATGTTCCTCAGAGGCTACGCGGAACAGCCCGCCACTCAAAGATCAGAAGAGCTGCTTTGTGCTCGAGCTCCAAGATCATCGTTCCGCAAGCCGTACGAGACTCACAAAATAAGCGCGCAGTCCTATTTCCATTAAGAGAGGCGACTCAGGACAAAAATGCTACAGGAGGGGCTTAAAACGAGCTTCAGTCATTCAACCCTGTGCGCTTCATCCTGGTAAATCGCTTAGTAGTCTATACCAAGTGACAGTCGTTTACAAGGAGCAGCAAGAGCTGTGTGACAACCTCAGGAATGAAGAAATGATCTTTATTGTAGGCTAGTTATGAAACACTAGATTGAGGAAAGAAGAAGAAAATAGTGATTATTATTGTGGGTTCGAGGATTGCAGCCTGGTCGCAACCCACGGATCTACTCTGTATAGGTCAAGCTGCCGAACTGAGGCTCTTCCAAGAAGAACGTCAAACTCAGTATCCCTAACGACATAGAATTCTGCAGAGTACAGCTTCTCTCGGCCACAAATCGTCCAGCTTACTTTGCACTTTCCCAGTGGCCGAACAGTAGGTCGATTCCACCACGTTATATCGTTACCCGTGAAACATTCCAGATGAAAATTTAGCTTTTTGAATACCGCCTCGCTCATAATGTTGATTTCCGTTTCGAAATCGATCGTCATTCGCCTGCGAATCCGGGATTTTCGACGTGTCTGAAGCATAACATCGTATATGTAATCGCATTGACTAAGGTTTTCACATGAATCGTGAGGATAATTTGTATTTCGTTTACCTAGTGTCCGGTGCAGAGAATCCGTCAATTGCTCCCGATTCACAGAGCTGCTTGGTCGGGCTCTTATTGTTGAAGAACTATCTCCTTCTATGTTTGTCTCTTCCCGGCCGAGGCAACTCTGACCATGTCTGATCGAATTCGACTCTATATTGCCCTTGTACCGACCCGTATCCGTTGACTGAGGGATCCATTTGTTTGGAGAGAAAAAATGTATGATTGCTGAAACAGTATTTTTAAATGAACCTCTAAAAAAAGATATCTTCTTTCGTCAGCTACTTGAACCCGATAAGGAAACCAAAAACCCTTCACTGACCGCGCAATGTGCATGTTTAATGATGGAAGCAGTGCTGCTAAGAATTTTTTACTTACTGAGTGTCTATTCGTACCATTGTTGTCCCAATAAGAGCGCTGTTGAGATGTGCTGGTTTTATGTGGCCTCTGCTCCGCAAGGCTCCGAGGCTCTGAGCCCCTATCCTCTGTCTGGTGACTCGAAAAAACTCTTCTTGAAAGATTGAAAGCCATTTCAAATATAGTTGTTTAGTTTACGACAAAACTAAATTGATTGAAATACTTGAAAGGGAGACGCATGGGCAAAATTATGATGAGATCTTGTCTCAACTTTATAGGTGTAAGCTAGTAGGAATGCACCTTGACACCCCCGCCTCGACAGCGAAACAAGCCTCCATTCTCTGTGATCATGTGCGTTGATTGCATGTTTTCGGCATTTTCTCTTTTTGTAATAGTGCTTAGAAATGACAAGGAAGCAATCTTAGTCAGGGCCTTAGACTAAGAAGGGTTTTTGATGTTGAATGATGTTGCCCTGCATTCGCATGCGACGACTTTGGTGCATGCATGTATCCTAGCGAACTAACCGCCGTATCTCCTAGACAGGTCTTGCCGACCCTTTCTTCATTGCGGGGCTTTCCGTCAGAAAGGTGCGAGAAATGTGAGAGGAATAATATTAGAAACTATCGGGAAACGGTCTGGAGATAGTATATCCATGATATTCTTTAATTTGCAGCGAGAGACCAGTGATTGTTTGCGGGACCTGGGCTCACAAATGAGCCCCACAAACTGTTCTGCCATATCACTCTGTGGGTCGAGAACAAAAGTACTTCGTAAGGTGTGACTAAAATAAACAAAGAAAGCGACTAGTCGAAGACCGGGAGCCAGCTGTATCAGCCCAGTCAATGCAAGTTGCATCACAGAGCGGTCAGATGTCAGGGGCCAAACACACTCTACTATGGCATATTTTTGTTTTGTATTCTCTGTCATTTCCATTTCCAGTGAACAAGAATCAGTCAGACCGCAGACGATTGTCCGCGAAGCGACTGACATAAACAATAACTCACTGCGACAAGAGGGGGTGGCGAAGTACAGAGTAAAGAAAGATCGGTCCAATAGCAAAAATATTTCAACGAGTTGCGAGTCGAACAACTATTGCAAGGCGGGCAGGAAGGCAGCTTCATAGACCATGCACCTTGATGCCAAGGGGTAGTAAAGTGCCTTCCCTGATTGGGAACGCTATACCGGATCCAGTAATTCACCGTCACCGCAGAGTACGGAGTAGGAGTACTCCGTATTATTCGGAATATCTGTAATGTTCTGCCTACCGAATACTCACCACCTTTCGCTGGTGGGTGGGTCGGGTCGGTCAACCCTATATTCCTTGTTGAACTGATTAACTATAATTGCTTTTTATGTCAGGTTCTAATGTTCTCTCTATGCCGTTGAACAAACATATAACATTGTTAATTTTTGTGTTGACCTGATGAACAGTCTTACTCCCTAGTTAGCCTTACTTATTCAGAGGTAATTTACGATCAATTAAACATGGCATGTAAAATTTCATTGTTTAGATCGCAGTGGACCGGCTCGGAGTACATACATAAACTGTAGATACTAAGTTCCCTTCTAGTCAGCCATACAGGCTTTCCGGGATGTCACGGGCTTGGCAGTGAGTAGGTGCGCTTCTACCCGCCAAGACCGTTTAGTAGGACAGTTACCAACTGAGCTACTAAAAAGACCAGAATACTAAGTCGAAGACTTGGTATGCGCATCGCTCTATATAGTAAGCCTTGGTCAGTTCGTCACACGGGAAACGGTGTCACTACCTACTGTCTTTCCTACTTTCCCAAGACCCGCTTCTCGAATCACACTATTCCTTATGTGGCTAAGCACTAGTGACAGCCGTCCACTCGGGTTTAGAGCAGGCCAGAGATCTGTGGGGCATTTTATCTTGGCACTAGGCTCTGGAGAGAAAGGACAGAGAGGAAGTGGTGACACCGTTTCCTGGAAAGCCTGTATGGGGTTTATGATAATGTCAACTTTTAATGCTACCCTCTATGCGGGGACCATAGCTAAGCATGGGTAGAAGCACAGTTGGCATACTACTAGAGAGGACATATTTACCTAGAAAATCCTTGGCATTATCTTACGTACCCACAGCGTTAAAATTGCCCAGAGACGATAGGTAGGATGCTACGCGATACTAAATGATCAGACGAATAATACTTTGGTAGCTTTACGTATAAATTACAAAAGATCCTGTTAATTGTTTATTAGGTATGTATGTATACAGTGATTGTTTCCGTATACACGTTGTATTGCAAATATAATAAAATAGAATCTTGACCTATCTACATATTATTAGCTGCTACTGTGATTACTACCCTGGCTAGTGCCAGGGTTCCATGTTCGGTTGAGTAAGGAAGGAGTACTCATTTACCTTTAAAAATGGTAATGTACCCAGCAAAACCTATTCGCTAATATTTCGAGAATGCGCTCCCCGAATTTATTCTGCCTACTAATATTGACCCAACCATCAGACAGAGATTTTTGCGGTATGTTTCTCCAGTCCCTCGACATTGCAGCTCAAGCTAAATAACAACAGTGGTAGACTATGGGAGAAAGTCTTGTCATACGTCCAAGAGTGGAGGAAACCGTTGATGATTGGCATCGCGAGCAGCACCAGAGTTTTTGTGCCGACAGAATCGAGCCCTGCGTTGTGACTGTGGACTATCGAGAACCACAGCATCATGCCTATCGACGGCTTTCCTATATGCATGGCCTGGTTCAGTTCGTTCATGAGTTTTGCAGAGACGAGGCAACCGGCGCTCTTCAGACGAAGACAATAATGAACGTGTCAAGTCGCGTTAGATTGGAACACAGCCCCGGGGGTGATTTTAAATTGAGAATCAATTTTAGAGATGACTACATAGAAGGGGTCGCGGTTGTCGGGACTTCAGTGGTTAACGGGTCTCACATACGAAAAGCAAAAGTGTACACAAAGATTGATATTATCACTCGATGGGCAGTGGTTGATGCGAAATGGGCGGACGGTACTGGTATCCGTGCTGATAACCGGCTAGACCTTTACGCATGGCAGCGGTTTGAAGGCCAATTTGTGCAGAACATGCTTAAGGCTAGGGAGCTATTCCATCATTCTGTTGTGAACATTGATTCTGTTTATTCACGCATCACCACCCAACAAGAGCCCGATAATCGACAAATCAGTCAACCCATGAGACAATCAGGCTACCGTCGGAGTCGGGGGGAAACCATGGAGAATAATGAGCTATAGAGTAGCCTATGGCCTTCTGCAGTGGTCAGGCTTTTCCGGCTCAATTC